AACCTCGACATTCTTATCCCTTTTTTTGCGTGGAAACTGTAACATTGCGACATTTAACATTTGCGAAACTCGCGTGATAACGTACGCTGTGTATAATTTTTTTCTCATGCCTGACTTGTTATTCGGAATTATTTCGATCCACGTGACTGCGAGTGGATGATTGATTTAATTTGTAAAATATTCACAAACATTGTACCTAATTAAAAAGAAAAGAAAAAAAAAAAAAAATACCAAGGAAAAATAGACATTTTTCGACGGCTACCACAGATAATTAGACGATAATTTTATTCAAAACTCGGCTTTTCTCGTCGTTCTTTCGTCATCGAACTTTTTCCTTTGTCGATGATTCTTTGACTGTGTTGTGTTGTGTCATTGTCGAACGTTCGTCTACGTTTTCTTATCCTTTATATAAATATGCACGTATATTGCAAAAGTCTTCGGTCATTTGAGAAATATTTTTGTAATAAGCGTTTCACATACAAATGAATTTCTGTGGCTTTTCTTTCGTGATCCACAATTTAGTTTAGTTGGGTATAGAGTTCTAAATTAAATTAAATTTCTGCAGTTAGCTTAGAACTAAAAACAGTTTGAAGCAACGTACAAAAGAAGAAAAAAATTTCAATTTTTTACGCAATGACCGTGAAACTTTTGCATAGTAAGGGGCAAGAAGAATTTTTTTATGAAGTTGGTTGGCTCGTAGAGTACTTTTCGCTTGTATTTTATGAAACATGGAGATAGAAGCCTGGAAGGGTTCTAGAGAAAAATCCAAAAGCGATGAATTTTCAAAGAAACTTTACAAAAAAAAAAAAGAATTAGCAAATAATGAATCAGAGAGAGAAAGAAAGAGGAAATAAGAGAGAGAACAGAACGCAAGGAGACGATAACGACGACGACGACGACGATAATAACTCTTCTATTGGATTTTAAGCATAGATTACCTGATCAAAAAAAAAAACATCGAAAGAGTTCGTAAATGTAGTGCTAGTTACTTTTAAATTGTAGGAGATGATGAATTGTTAAAGAGAATGAAAAGAAAAAGAGAGAGAGAGAGAGAGAGAGAGAGAGAGAGAGAGAGAAGAAAAAAAAAGGAGAGAAAGATGGATCGTTCAACAGTTAGTATATCGAAATCGGTCAAAGTATTGGAATTGTACTATACACTCTCCTTGTTTCTAATTTTCAACTCAAACTTTCCCCTATAAATGTGTTAATCGGAGATCAAAGGTTACTTAAGTCTACTAAAAAAAAAAAAAAAAAAAAAAAAAGAAATAAACATTTCTAACCGCCGTCGTCATTGTTTCGCTTTCTGCGAAACTATTTCACGAGCGATATCACATAAACATAATGGCGCCGGCATAATCTTACTACGAGAGTATTACACGCCGAAAGAAAGAAAAGTTGCCGGCTGGAATACGTCAGCCGTGTGATATTTACAGGTTTCAGCTTCCTATGACGTCAGTCCCCCGCGAAAATCCATATATCAAACGTTAGAAGGCGCATCGGAGAGACGATGAGTACCAAGCCGAGGGATTCTTCAAAGATGATCAGCGGGGGTCCACGGGACGGTCCTCCACGACACACCGAAAGAAATAACATTCCCTCCGCCTTTGCTGGCGCGCGCGTCCGTTCTGTAACCCTGAAATTTGTGGTTTTCCTTAAACAGGCAGCTTCCTCGTGTTTCGACCCGCTGATTTCGGCCGGGTTTCACCCCTTCTTTCAGAAAGGAGGAAAGAGGAAAAAAGAACAACGAGGACGAAGGGAAACGTTATTAATCGTCGCAGTGGGCCGTTGAAAAGAGGCGCAGAACACAGCCAGGAGAAGACGATGAAGGTGTACAGGGTGTTTCTGATCCGGTGGTACAATAAAAGGAAATCTTTTCATTTAATTTGTGACTTCAAACTTACAGATATTGTTTCTCGATATAAATTATCGTTGGATCGCTTAAGAATGCTCGTGAGTCGAATTCGTTGGCGATGATAGTTTTGAGAAAATTTGAGAACAATTTCGATATTTTAATATAATTTACATAACGTAAGGTGTAAGACTGAGTTTCGGAGACTGGTTTTCTAATTTGGATTACAACTATCTTAAATTGGACCACATATTTATTTTTGCACACGCATATATTGTAAAAAAGTAAAGAGAAAAAAAAAAAAATAACTCTAAGAAACATTTTGCAACATACTAGGAAAATTTAAATATTCTAAATTTTAATATTCCATTTAAATATTCTGGTTTAAGAATAACCTTAATAATAAATAAAAACTAGCGTAAGTGTCAAATCAGTGGCGCGATGTTTCTTTAAAAATTATAGTCGCAAGAATACAAAATTTACCTACTAAAGTTGAAAGTAATTATTATACTTTCTCTACAATTCCTCAGTTCCCTGTTGCTACAACGAATTAGATTATAACACACGGATGAATTCTTCTTCAATTTAGGCAACATTCCCTTTCAAACTTAATCTCAATTTCAAACCTGCTCAAGTGAAAAAGGAAAAAAAAGTGTCCCCTTTATCAACTTGCCTTATCATAATCACCCCCCTGCCCCCTCCCATTTCAATTGTATCACTAGATCAGAAACATCCTGTATATTCTCTATCCTCCGGCTGATGCTGCTCGGAGGATGCTCAGGTAGCCAGTGGATCCTTTGACCTTTCCACCGGCTGTCCTGCGGGATACGTCTCGTTCCTGTCCACCTTCTGTCTTTTCTCACCGAAAGAATTCCGCCAGCGGCCGATTCCTCCTTTGGGGCGGAGTACTGGAAACTTCAGTCAGCTCCCGCTATTCATTTTGCTGCCTCCGAGAGAATGGTAGAATTAATAAGTGACATCTCGTAGGGGAAGACACGAGGAAAAGGTGAAAGAGAAACAGAGAGTAAGAAGAAGAAGAAGATGAAGAAGAAGATCGCTCTTCCTTGCCCTCCACCTTTCGTTCTTTTCTTTTTTCGTGGCTTTGTCGTGCTGGTTCGGTCGCGTTGGTTCACGCGGTCCTCCGAACTCTTCGATCCGCCGCCGCCGCGTCCCTTTGTTGCGCCGACGCTGCCTTTTGTCAGGCGACGAATGAAACACCTTGTCTTTCGGCTCTGCGTAACACAATGCCTTTATCTCGCAGATAAAACCGTGTCTGGGAAGCCGGAACGATGAAGACGAGGGGAGGATTGACAGTTGCCCGTTGGATTATTGGCTCGGAGGCACGTGCAGAGAAGTCTGGGTGCTGGAGAAGACGCGAGATTTCGCTGATTACCGGGGAATCGGTGTCGTTCGACGATGCTGCAGAAGCTTTCCAGTTACGTTCCTTGCGGGAAAACTTTTATTACACGCGAGTTTTTGGAAATTAGATTTATAGATCGACAATTGTTCGATTGCCGAGTGTGAAGAACTCGCGAAAATCCATTCCTTTCCTATTTTAAATATTTTTCTGTTTGTAAGGAAATTTGATTGTACCTGCATTCTTACAATTTACAAAAATGCAGACAGTATAGATTTTTAATATCAATTTGTAGTGTCCTGTATGCAGCAATGAATAACATACAGCGAAGCTTTGACGATCGAATTAATATCACTCCGGAATCGCCAACGTTTTAATCAAATTAAAATTCAACGAAATTACGCGTTTATAACAATCACAAATTTCATTAACTATTAAAGTATCAGGGATACTTTGTTAACTATTAAAGTATCAGAGAATTATCGTGCGAACGTTTGATCAATTATAAGAGAACATTTACTAGTCTACACTTTAGAACTTCTACGATGTTACCACCTATTGTCATGTCTTACTATTTAAATTTACTTTCACAACACATTTTCACAGTGCTGCGACTAAAAGAATGCTGCTTTTGAATTTTTAAAGAAAAGCAGTACGGAATATGGCAAATATATATGTGTGTCTGTGTACTATTAATAATTATTAACTTTTAATTAAATTTTATTTAATTAAATTGAATGTTAATTTATTTATTTTACTGACATCTATATCATTTTAACTATTTGCACTGGCAACTGATTGCGGACCGTAACCAAACCGTGTACAATTTGTCGCTTTCTTTTCCTTTTAAACTCGTCAGTATGATATCACATTGAGAAGTAATAAATTTATTATTTGTTTCGCCTGGGTTATACCTAAATATACTTAACACTGAGAAAGTATTGCAATTTTGGGACAAAAAATTCTCGACGTGCGCGGCAAGAGGTTAATAATATTTACTAACATTGTTTAACAAATTTATTTATATTACCAAACATAAATTTATTTATTTTACTAAAAACTTGCAAATCCAAAAAAATATCTGACTTATATTGATTTCTATAACATCTAATACGTAAATAACTATAATTTTTGTATCGGCGAGATACAATGACGAAGCAACAATGTGTCTGCACAAGGTAAAATTATCAAAGGGTGGAATATACGAATACACGACGTTATAGTCATATTTCTAAAAAGTAAATATAAAATAAATATTTAACGTTTAACACAATTATATAAATATTTAATAACAGACAAGTAAATAAAATAAATAGAAAAATATATAAAATATCTGATTTATATTTATTTATATTTTTAGAGGGTCAAGTGTCACAGTCATATTTCTAAAACGAAAAGTAAATATAAAATAAATATTTAACGTTTAACACAATTATATAAATATTTAATAATAGACAAGTAAATAAAATAAATAAAAAAATATATAAAATATCTGATTTATATTTACTTATATTTTTAGAGGGTCAAGTGTCACAGTCATATTTCTAAAACGAAAAGTAAATATAAAAGTAAATATTTAACGTTTAACACAATTACATAAATATTTAATAACAGACAAGTAAATAAAATAAATAAAAAAATATATAAAATATCTGATTTATATTTATTTATATTTTTAGAGGGTCAAGTGTCACAGTCATATTTCTAAAAGTAAATACAAAATAAATATTTAACGTTTAACACAATTATATAAATATTTAATAACAGACAAGTAAATAAAATAAATANCTTAAGTCTACTAAAAAAAAAAAAAAAAAAAATATGTGATAGAAACGATCTGCGATCAAAACTCAGAGTACGCTCGCTTTATAGAGTAAATTCAGTGCCTTTGAAATAATTCTAACTGAAAAAGAGACGCTTTGGAGAGACGCTGAACAGAATATTTAAGAACGAATCGAAACTGACAGACGGATAGAGATATTTTTCAAATAGCTGTAAACTGTTCTAGAGGAATGGGATAATAATGATTTGAATGGAGACGAATGGTGTCCAAGGTGTCTAACAACAAAAAATGGAGCATCCTCGAACATCGAAGTAATAAAACAGCAAATTTTCGCAATTTCGTGATATGTTTCTTCCAGAGTCGGACAATGAAAGTGTACCGTCTCCGGTAAAGCCGCAGCCGAGGGTCCCGTACTGCAAGACATACGAGGAGATTCGTCTGGAGGAGATTCAAGCCGAGAGTGCCGCCTACTATTCCTATCAGGCTGAGGGCTCTCAGAGCGACATTGGTGACGGTAACATCAAGGCTCGTAGGACGAAACGAATCTCCCAGTATCCGCCGGCAAACAAAGATTCGAACGACAGAAAGGGATTGGACTTCGAGGTTCTCACACTCGACGAAATTCGTCGTCGAAAGCGTAAAAGCTTCGAGGAGGCTAAAACCGGGAACAGCGAGGCGGCGAGCTCGACGGAATTGTTGAACGACACCGTGGAAAGTTTGGCTGGACTTACAGAAACAATTTCCGCCAGAGGAGTGAAAAGACGTCTGAATGAAAATTTCGAGCAAGACGCTTCGAAGCGCAGGCGTAAAATGAAGTGTCCGAACGATCGCGACGCGATTTCGAGCGGCATAGTGCCGCCTGTTAAGCTCAGAAGATCTCCAAAGAGGTTGGGCTCGCTTCAGGATGAAGAACGAGACGCGAGAACTGACCAAGAGCAGCAGCTCGAGGAGAAGAGGGACGAGTCAGGTAGAAACAATCCTGAGTCCAGTTCCATGGCGAGATTGAACGAATCGGAATCGTCGAGTTCGACCAGTAGGCCTAGGAAGAATGAGGTTGAGGTCAGATTGTGCGACAGCAGCACGGACGAAGATCAGGTGCCGTTAGAGAGAAGCAAGCAAAAGAACTTGCAATCAGTTAACACTGTCGAAGATTCCAAAGAAGCAGACAGTTTGTTGAATATAAATGAAGAGGATTATTTAACGTTGGACATGGCGTCGGATGATATTTTGAACGACATCGACGCGTTGCTCAAAGATAAAACCTCGGTTTGGAGGAAAGGCTAATAAGGAGCATGTACATACATACTGGAATGATATTTGTTCATATCTCGTGGTTTCTCTTTCTCTCGTTTGTCGATGAGTGGAGAAAAAGCAGGTAAAATTTGTCGTTCGACTTACTTTCCACTTACTTTCGAAGCGACTGAGGGATTCTGTCTTTCTGGTTTTCTTTCGTCGCAAGATGAGACGAGAACGTCGATGAATAGGCAGTTGTCGTTATAGGTTGATTCTTAAATAGGTGAAGAGAATTCTTAGATAATTTTTAATCGTGTTTAATTAGTAAAGGGCGAAGAGGATCGTATTTTCGAATTCGATTGCTTTTGTAGCTGACTTTACCGATGTCTGGATGCTGTGTATTTGTGAAGGAACGCGAAGGAAGGATTCTTCACAGATTGGTCGAATTCCTGACCTTTAATTTTTTTTACACTATTGTCGGAATTTAAAATTCGATCTTTTCCAAAATTCTCCCTTTTATAGAAAGTTATGGAAAACAGTGTTGATAGGTGAGATAAATTGAGAAAATAATTCTCATACTCGCGAAAGTTTCGTCGATATTGCTGATTTATTAGTCCAGGATTTTTTTTTCGACGATGACATAATTTTAATACACTATTGTTTTATTATTTTATTTGTGTTTTATAGTCTTTATATTATAATATTTAATATTATACGACAATATTTGTTCTTGAGAACGAATGCATTTCCGTCATTTTTTATTCGTCTTTATATAATGTTAAGATGTTCCTTTGTTAAAATTGTTAGGGATTCGTTATCTTTAATCATATTTTCTTTCTTTTTGTTGAACATATCTCTAGTTTTATTCTAATTATTTATATTTCGGAGCGATATTTAGAACAATCAAAGCCATTAACAATCATTTTTTTAACTATTATTTTATTTGCATGATATTAAATGGTTCTCAAAATTGAGACAAATTGTAAATAAGAAAATTAACAACGTTTTAAACAATGGTTATACTTAATTAATAAGAATAAAAGAGACAAAGCATTTGTTGAATTAAAAATTGAAGATTAATATTTAACTTCCAAATCTTAATTATGTTCTTTGTCGTGTAAAAAGATTTCAATAGAATTGAATCAGATATACACATATCTGATGTATCTGTGTTCGATGTAGAATTCTTTTATTTATTATTTTCGAATTGTTACGAAGCTTTCAAGCGTTATTTAAGTCCGGAAGAGTATTCTCCGCTCTAGTATTTTGATTAGCTTCGTTAAATAATTCATATTTCGTAATTTCAAAATATCGGAAATACAAATTATTTAAACAAAACGTAAGAAAATCAATTTTATCAATTTTACTGGAGAGAGTAATAATTTTAATTAATAACTAAATAACTAAAAGATAATTCAAAATAATTTTAAAATTCAAGTAAGATTTACTTTCAAGATGAATTTAAGAAATTTGTTTAGAAATTTATATTTTTCAATTTCTAAACGAACGTTGAATTTTCTTTTAATCAACTTATATTAATCTATGTTATATTTTTCAATTTCTAAACGAATTTTCTTTTAATCAACTTATATTAATCTATGTTATTAATCTGAGAAAATTGTTGGCTATCCTTTATTTGATTTGCATTTCGTCGATAGGGAATAGAGTAGGCTAAATCGGGACTTGGAAGATTCGTTCGTTCTGTTGGACGTTTCTACAAGTGATTCTGATCTTTGAAAGCATAGAAAATCCAACTACCTTCTGATACGATTGTGTTAAGGGATAGTATTAAATTGGAACAAATATACGATTGTTACATTTGCAAAAACTGCTGGACCTCGTTCCTCCTTTCCTCTATTATAAATTTTACATTAGAAATAAGTCCAAAATAAGTGAATTGAAAGGTAAGTGGTGAAATCAAACTGAATGTTACTTGAATGCACACACTATTTATTTTGAATGCATAATCGTACGGTTAACATACCTGGTTTCGCGTCATTCTGACTGATCAAAATCTTGCACCGGATATAAATGATGAGTTCGATCTCGCTTTTTTTTTTAATCGGATATTTGGGGGATTGGAATCAACTATAATATAAATGTCGAGATATTCTTTACGATGTACACACAACAAACGTTCAATTATTCTTGCTTCTCTTCGACTTCTTACACGAATATAAATAATACCGACTTAAAAACTATGGTTTTTTTTCTTACGATCTCCTCTCTCTCTCTCTTTTTTTTATTTTATTTATTCGCCTATAGAAATTACGTCTAAGAAACTGTGGTTTAAAATCTCTGCGAGATTCTCCCCATTCTTGCTAACGAGTTCTTCTTCCTCATTAATGCTCTACTTTCTTTTTCTTTTCTTTTTGTTGCTGTTCTTTCTCATGTGTAATTTCTTTTCCCTTTGGTTATCATACAAATTTTTTCCTCGAATTTCGTTTTCTGCTCCGATTCCGATATGAATTATTTCTTTAAATTTATATTATGATAAGTAAAGTCGTCGCCGCCTCGTGGTCGGAGAAAAACGACGACGACGCTTGGAATTAAACGATCGCATCGAAGAACGAAATATTTCGGTTCGAAAACTTACGTTTTCTCGTGAGAAAATACGTCCAGACGTTAGGAAAGTTTTCTTTAAAAATGTGGAAAAACTAACGAAGTGTAATTAATAATTCCAAAGGGCAAAGACTAGCAAAAGGCAGTCCTCGTACTTGTAAATTCGATCGAAATGAAAATAGATTCGTAACTGGCAGGGTAAGCTCTCAAATTTAAGTTCAAGTCTGATTTTCGAATCGTCGAGTCTTCCAACATTTCAAATCTTCAGAGTTTCTGAACTTTCCAATTTTAAGGAGAAAAGAAAAAAAAAAAAAAAAAATAAAACTTCGTGCATGATTAAAGAAAACTTGTTGTAACATCGTCTGCACGCTATGTAGCGCTAACAAAGAGGTCGGAAAAATAACTATGTAAGATCGAAACGCGAAGTAATATGTCTATCAATGATTAGTCTTCAATTTTCTCGATTTATTCGCAAATTTTATGTATAATATTGCCGCTTACAACAGAACATTTTAAACGTTCAGCTTCGAACGAATGTCTCGAAGACCTCTCTACGTATGTTGCTCAATTTCTGCTGGTCGATAATAAGCCAATATAATAGTACCTTGGCTGCCTATTATTACTTAATTACCATCGAAACGAAAATACTTCGTGACGTAAATTCCGCTAACAACATATTGAAACAGTTCGGTACCTACCTATTAGCTTCGTTACAAAGAAACTTCTCCGTCATGGTGTCGTCATGGACTACCATGGAGATACTCTTGCTAAAAGTACTTTTCGTAATCGTAACTCGCGACACAAACAAGAGGTTTTCTTTTCTTTTCTTTTTTTTTATTTGAGGAGAAAATTGCACGCGTCCTGAGAACTATTTTATGTACCATTCATACTAGAGACCAAAGGAATTTGTTGGCCAAGGATCCATCTTTTTACAACTGGTTTTGAGGTTAGTTTAAGAAAAATTGTTTCGCTGTCTTTTTAAGGTTTGTACAGAGACTTTTGAAATTGATGATGTCTTAAGTTATGTATAACCTATAATTTATTTTAATTTTAGTACATTGTAACTGATAAAAAGTTTCGTTTCGCATTCGCAACCATAGAAATATAATTTAAATTTGTAACAAGTTTTATTTGGCAAATCCATGTCCAATTAAGTTCTTTGGTCTGTAGCATTGTAGGAGAAGTACGATAGCTATATAGAAAACATAAACGAGAGATTATCAGGAGATAATTGTAGATTATCTGCGGCATAAAAACTTTACAGTACTACCGTAAGTGTTTCGATTGTTTTACTGATTATGTGAATTTTCTGAACGTTTTCTTGATTTTATTTTCCTCTTTTAGAGTATCGATGATGCGCGAGTCTACGACTAAAAGACTTCTAAACATCTGCATTTCGTAAATTCGTTCGAGACAAAAGTATTTTTTTCCTCATGCTTCCAGGCGTGTACGAGCACATTGAAAGGTAAATATTTCGATTTGTTTCAAACAATCGGATTGAAAAAGTAAGCTCAGGAGAAAGCAACTGGGAACCCTCTGTAATTAACGGTCGTACACGTCGATCGATTCGCAAAAGAACTTTCATCTCGCGCGTGAAAAGAAACTTTTCGCAAAATTTATTTTTCTTACGTTTGATAGATCTTATCGTCAGACGTGACGTTTATCATCATCATCATCATCGTTATCATTTTTATTCTCCTTCCTCGTACGTTCTTCGAGTGATTTTGAAGAGAAATCGGCCTTTGGATTGGTCAAAGGCAGTCGACGATCATCGACAACAGAACGATTTTTTTACTGAACGATTGCAAGAGCTGCCCTTTCATCGATTTCGAACGTCTTCTCCTTGCGTTCTCCTGTATCTAACGTTTGTAAGACTAACGTAAGTCAAAGAAGCTCAAGCCTACGGAGAGGATGTCGACACCGATGACCACCACGGTCACTGTAGCCGAGGGGACCAGTATTGCGCTGCCATGTCTGGTGCTGGTTGACCCGGTACCGCGATCGGCACGCTGACACCTGGTGATATCAGACCTGAAAGAGAAGTAAACCGCCTTGTTTAACTGATATATCTTATTGGTAAGAATTACAGACATTACGTTTAGCGTACATATTTACAACAAAACCCTCGTATCTGTGAGAAATTATTCAGGCACGTTAAGTTAGGATTTTCTAGGTACGAGGGTCTTCTCGTATTTCTTGTGTTATATTAACAATGTTATCGTGGTTGTATTGATATAGGATATCAGCATCGAGATTAAGAATCTTTCAAGATGAGACCTTTCAAAGCATTTGAGTGTCTGAAGAATAAAAATACAGAAGATGGTCAGTCATGCGAATTCGAGATCAACTGGGACATAATTTTATAACATTTTTAACACTAAGCTATCCAGATAGGAATGTTTACGTGCACGTGTAATATCACATTAATGATTAACAGGTAAGCATATTCTTCTGCATTATTAACTTCCGACCTTTTGCGACCCAAAATGACCTTTTACCATATCTTGTTAAACTTAATATCTCTATATTGGGCCTAGAAATATACACTGTAGGATATTATCTAAAAAAAAAAAAAAAAATGCCGTCACCTTGAAACCTACGGATCTTTAGGATAAAACTACTTACACCACGCTATCACGAACTATGTAAGTTCGTAAGTAATTTACTTTCCGACTTTTAAAATATTATAAATTTTCTCGGGAATTTTACTTTAGGTAGAGTTTACAATTGACTTATTCTCTTAAGCTTCTGGCATTTTAATAGTATTGCAAGTGATTTATTCTATTCTAATTCAATTTTAATTCCAGGCTTGGAAGGAATAACTGAATCGATTCTCGAAGCAGCGAGTCCCTTTAAATCCAACGACAACAAACACACCATGTTAAACCGGTAATTACCACGCGACAAAACCTAAGAACCACTCGAGCTAGCCAAGCTCAACCAGCCAAATTCAGCGAGACTAACTACCATTATTATGCATGTAGGTACAGGCTGAAGGGAATGGAGTTTTGTAACGATAAAAACACCTTGCGGTAACGCAGAAGCGAGTATAATCCATTACCGGGAGATTGGATAGCGTGTTATCCGTGGTAGTCCATCGGCTAAAGTGCAAGCAGCGAGTGCAGTGAGTGCGGTAGACACTCACCGGTGGAACTGGTATTCTGATTGTACTGATTCAGGCCCGCGGTGTGGTATGGCTGGGTGGGACTGCACGTGGGCCGTGCCCCGTATCCCAGATGAAGGGGCTCGTAACTCGGTGGACGAGCCACGCCGCACGAGTATCCGTTGTCCCGTTGCTGAAGGCACGCTCCGGGACTTGGGCCCACTGTCATGCCCACGGTCATGCCCATAGGGCCCATCCCACCGCCTGTTGACAACGACGACATACTGCTGGTGGTGTGCTGGTTCTGCTGGCTACCGCTGGACATCGTAAAACTCGGCATCGACGTCATTGGGCTGCAAGGTTTTACAAAAGTCCTCAAACACTAAATGAGAAACAGGCAAATTTCCACCAGCAGAAATTTGTGCAAGTAGTACAGCTGTAGAATAGACTGTAGATTTTCGAGCATTTTTATATTTATATGAATGTAAAAGTTTTCGCATAGTGCATGTACTGTCTGCAGCGTTCCACTTCCAAATTTCCCATGAATATATTAAAATAAGAAAAATATGCAGTCTAGTTATGCTGTTATTTGTAGCACTATAGGGATTTGAAATTATGATAACTCAAAGATTATAAACATAATGTACAAGTATTGATTAATTAGAATATTACAAGATGTTTCATTATATCTTAATTAGACAATTGTAATGTAATGCTGTACATTACATTTTATGTAATTGTGGAATTGTTCTTATCTTTTATACAAATAAATTCATAAATTGTACATAACACGATTTCGTTGTAATAATTACTAATAAATACTAATAATTAACTGATTACACAAAAACTACTTGTGCAATTTATTACGAACACCTTCAATAATGTTAATTGTTAATTTGCGATTGATTTTGATCGAAATTTTAAATACAATTTGCAAGAAATTAAATATTAAATGGATGAGGATCTCGATCTATTATGGAAAAATTTATAAATCATTATTCATGAATTTCCCACGACAAATGGCATATGGGAAGAAAGTTTAGGGTTTATTTGATAACATACAACTGCAAAAGTTCGATAATTATTGCTCTAAATTAGTTTTTTTTGCAATTGAAAAATTAGCTCGTTTATGGACACACAAATGCTAGCGGCGCGTAGCGGTGAACCAGTGGAACTAACGTATATTGCTGTCCTTTTCGCACACTAGTGCTCTCCTTGTCTGTCGCGCAATGTATATCTATCCTTGTCGCACACGGTTGCGCTCCTTGTCTACCGACGCTGCTGCCCTCTAAGCCAGTCTGATTTTTGTTTGGAACTAAAAGGTAAATTGGAAAAATCCGATAGATGGCACCACTTGCCACAGTACACTGTCGGTACATGTCGGTACGTGTCGGTATGTGTACTGTAGCAAGTGGTGCCATCTATCGGATTTTTCCAATTTACCTTTTAGTTCCAAAAAAAAATCAGACTGGCTTAGAGGGCAGCAGCGTCGGTAGACAAGGAGCACAACAGTGTGCGACAAGGACAGATATACATTGCGTGACAGACAAGGAGAGCACCAGTGTGCGACAAGGACAGATATACATTGCGTGACAGACAAGGAGAGCACCAGTGTGCGACAAGGACAGCAATATACGTTAGTTCCACCGGTTCACCGCTACGCGCCGCTAGCATTTGTGTGTCCATAAACGGGCTAATTTTTCAATTGCAAAAAAAACTAATTTAGAGCAATAATTATCGAACTTTTGCAGTTGTATGTTATCAAATAAACCCTGAACTTTCTTTCCATATCCCATTCGTCGTGGGAAACTCGTGAACAATGATTTACAAATTTTTCTGTAATAGATCGAGATCCTCCTCCACGTATGACGAGTTACCGTAACTTTCGAGTCATCGTATCGCCGTTATTTAATCCGCAAATAGTACAGATGACTAATTAGAACAATTAACATCACATTACTAACATTTCCAGCCTTTCATATCCTTCCGAGGATATTTTATATCCTTCGTACTATTGGATTTAGCAGCTGTCTAATTCAATCCTAAATTTCTTCAGCGGCTGAACGATAACCGGGTTAAAAGGGATGGAAACATCAGGAGCACCATCGAAGAAACGACGTTGATTCTCACCTATACGAGTCTGGCATGCTGGGTATTCCCGGATAAACGGCCGTGGGTGCGAAACCATGGTGTATCCTCGGTGGAGAGGGTGGTGCTTGCGGCGGTGGTTGACTAGCCAAAATACCCGAGGCTGGTGGCGGTGTCGGATGGCCAGCACCCACCAGGCTCACCCCTCCGGCGTGTTGTTGCTGCTGTTGCTGTTGCTGCTGTTGCTGCTGCTGTTGCTGCTGCTGCTGCGACTGTTGTTGCTGTTGCTGTTGCTGCTGTGGCTGCTGGTGTTGCGGGTTGTCCCTCCGTTGCGTGCGCAATTTCTCTTCGCGCCGCCACTTGGCCCGCCGATTCGAAAACCACACCTGAGTTAGTGAACGAGAAGACAGACGAAGATACAGGTCAATCGCTAGGCTACAGGTTCCGCCTAATTTTCGGTCTTTCGTTTCTCGATCCGTTTCTTTTATGGAAATCGTCTCGCGAGTTCGGCCGGAGATCGGGCGGCTTGGGGACTCTGGAGTGGACTCTGCAGTTGCGCCTTTTGGGATTTGTACGTTGGTATTTCGTTCGTGCGATCGTTATGAACGTATTAGTCTCTACAATGTAAAATATCGATCAACCAGGTGAAAGAACCGTTCGTTTCCTTTGAATTCCTTGCACGGAGACGCGCAAGTATTATTAATCCAGGGATTTCTGGTCAGCCTCGTTAGGTGATTAACAAAGACTCGATGTTAAAAAATAGAACGTGACTTTTATTGCAATATAATATCAGTGAAATATAATATAATTTGTTATAATTTTGTCAATACAGTCTGTTTGAAACATGAAATTACAATAAATGATACGACGAAGGGATGAACTTACGAACGAGAAGCATCAAACGAAATACGAAGCAATACGAAGGATTGCGACTGGTTTCGTCGGAATTGGAGGACTGAAGGATACACCAGGAGTAAAACGAAGAATTACATCGTGGCCATAATTGTATGTAGGATGTAACAGGGATGAAACGACCGTTCTCGCGCTCGATCACGTCCTCACACTGACTTCATCTCACGCATTGTCTCGCTCTCGACACACACGCACAAGCACACGCACAGTGAGACAGTAGCACCGATTCACCTTTGGAATTTTGAAACGAACGAATGAGAAGAGCGAATGAAAATACAGAAGAGAAAAGAAAAGAGAAGTAAAGAGAAAAGGAGAGAAGAGAAGAGAAGAGAAGAGAAGAGAAGAGAAGAGAATTGAAAGAAAAAGTGTGCGGGTATAAAATATAGTCACCTGTATTCGAGCTTCCGGCAGACCGATCTTGCCAGCGAGTCTCTCCCTGGCGAATACGTCTGGATAATGCGTCCTCTCGAATTCCTTCTCGAGAGCGTCGATTTGCTCGTTACTGAAGCTCGTGCGATTCCTTTGAAGCTTCCTTTTTAAACGGAGACGCGCCTGGTCGTCGTCCGTGCCTCCGGACACGCTACCGGCGTTGCTGTTGTCACCGCCGCTGTTCGTCTCGTCCGAGTGTGCGCCGCCCTCCAGTTCCGCCACTAAAACAAACGCCACCATTTTTTACGTCACGATTTTATGCACCGCAATTACAAAGAGAAATTCATAGAGAAATATCATCATTCACTTTCGAATGTACGAAAATATGTAAATTTCACGTGCACGTGTGTACGATATCGACAGCCAACGATTTATCGCAACGATTTATCTCTATTGGCTCGTAACGATTCTTTCTTTAAACGCGTGTTTCTGAACGCCTGTCGACATTTTAAACGCGCACCCCCGCACGTAATTTACTACGCAAAGGCAATAGGAATGAAACAACAAACGAATTATCCACAGAGTTATCCACCGGTGTAAAACAATCGAAGCCCATGGCGTTCGGTTTTAATTCAAATTCTATATATGTATCCACATAATACGTAATTCTCGCCTGACTGCCGTTTTATTTTCCGTTTTATGAACGCTGTGTGCCCTCGCTATGAAAATGATCTACGTATCGGAGGATAATTACTCCTCAGATTTCGCAACAGTGTAGCAGTCCGCGTTTGGATTTCATAAACTTTTCAACTCTCAGACAGATGGGAGATCCTAAATTTCTCATTTGAAGGAAGATGGAAGAAGAAAAAAAGGGAAATCGGCTAGGAAACCCTATCGATCGCGTGAGTAGAGCGTCGCGACTTTTTACTGACCCTGCCGCTCTCTCGTTCCTTCTTTTTCAAGGGTCGTCGACAGAGGCCCTCGTCAGTTTTCTTATATAAATATCCACGTGCGTGCACGATTTTTCGCCGCGTAGGTGCGCGCGCGAGTGCGTGCGTGTGTGTGTGTGTGTGTGTATATATATATATATATATATAGGTAGGTACACGTACGTGCACGTAGAAACGCGAGTAAAACGGGTGGATGGGTGGGTGGAGGATCGAAGGGAGAAAGGAGGCGTTGCTGGGTGAACCTTATCGTCGGTTTCTGGGTGAGCGCGTCGAGGCGTCACTGGGTTTTGGCTCGACGACGAGAACTGCCTGGAGGGTTGCACGCGGGGGCGGGGGGGGGGGGGAAAGCTGGTGGAATGGCTGGCTAGGGAAAGAGGGACGCACGATAAGACGTCGCAGCGTCCCGACGCCAGCCGTCCCTCTTCTCTCTTGCACGATACGCCTCTGTCATCCGTGCAAAGTGCCACCCTTCTCTCTCTCTCTCTCTCTCTCCCTCTACTCTCTTCCTTTACTCCCCTACCACATTCTTTTTTCTCTCGCTTTTTTATCTCTGGCTCCTATCTTTCACCTTCTCTCTTTAATTTTCACCTTCACGGCCTAGCCTCCTCTTTGTTTCGCTTCCACCAACGATAATCTTCTACCTCGCGGCCAAAGTCTTTGCTCCCAGGAGTCTTCGAGTCGCGTTAATGGAAACCTGATAACAATTTCTCGATGGGAGGTCCAACTGCCAACTTCCGTTGTCGAGCCTCGTGCCGTTTCCTTTTTTCCTTTTGCCTCTCTACGGTCTCTCTCCTCTCCTGCCGCTTGTTTCGAGCTGTCTCGCATCGTCGAATCATTGTGTCCAACCACCTCCTGCTACCATCTCGATTTGACAAGTTCGTTAATGCTTCGTTAATTATCGCGTGATGTTATTGTTACATGACAGACCCTTTGTTGCGCGCAGTCTTACGGTCTTTGTAGTTTGCGTCAGTGACATTTAGCACTAGTGGCAAGTTTATCGAATCGATTGTCACCTATGAACTTTGCCGTGCCTCGTGTAGCCTATGACAAAAGGAACCCACTGTTGAAAGTGGGTTTCAACTCGACTGTCCTATGGAAAAATTCTTTGCGCAAACTTTGCGAGTACGATACAAGGCGCGAGAGAAAGGACGCTGGAATTAAATAATATTGTTGGATGACCGGAACTAGGCCTGATAATATTGGCTCAGTGATAACACTGACTGTGAGAGTAATAGACCTGCCTAAAAGTGCGCCACGAACAATTATTCATAGGGTAAATTCCAGTAGGGTAGCTTCTTTCCTCCTCTCTTCGATTTACAATTATGAAAAGACGTGCTGGAAAGTAAACGCGTCCATGTTTTCCATTAGAAAGTCCTCTTCACCACGGTTCAAACTCGAATACATCGTCTCAAACGTACAAGTTGTACATTCAATTCTCATTTCATTTTCAATTCAAATCCAGACGTCGTCACTGGCAACCGATTTTCAACGATTACATTCTCAAGGGAGCATTCGGTTGTTGCAAAAGAAAAAAAAAGAAAAAAACAAAACATAATTTCACGAGAGGCGAGAAAGGCGAGCTCTCCTTTTTTTCTTCGTAATTTCGCGAGAGACGTGTCCGGAAGAAACGAAAGGATCGCAACAGATGTTGGAAGGCGAAAGGGGAACGTATCCATGGTCGGAGGGGAAATCCACTCCATCCATTCAGTTTCTCTTACTCTTGTCCTTGGTCTTTCGCCCCAACCGAATCGTCTCTCGTATCGTCGTTCAACGTATCATCCGCCAACCAGCGAGTTCAAGCTCGCTGAAGCGCGATGGCCGACTTCATTTTCACGTTTGCTGCCATCGCCACACCGTCCCCCTCGTTCTCCCTTCGTTTATAAATTATTATTCCAAGCTTTTACAAATTTTGCATCAAACAATTTGCAGTGTACTGCAAAAGGACACTTTGGTCAAATATCACCGATAAAGATTGCAAAATACACTACTGAACTGAAAGAGAGCAACAGGAAGCAACGGGGGGTGACTGGCTCTGAAAGTTCCGAAAAGTTCAAAAAATTCGAAAAGATAAACAAAAAGGGGAGAAAAGAAAGGAAAAGGAACAATCGGCGGAACGAAAATGGGAAGAACTGGGGCAAACGAAGTGAGAGGTGGAAAAAAGCGAGAGGTAGAGGGAAAAGATAGAACTAACCGGAGGCGGAAGCTGCAGACAACGAGAAAGGGAGCAGAGGATAGAGGATAGACGACGAAAGAAGCAAGAGAGGAGGAGGAGGAGGAGGAGGAGGAGGAGGAAGTTCCACATTGTTCTGGATTCTACATCCTGTAGTGGAAACTTGGTGTAACAGCCCTCCGATTCCACGAGAAGTTTAGTACTAGGAACGTGGCTCCCTGCCAGCTTTCCAGGATGAACCTTAACCGCATCCATGAAAGGGGAGGCTACGGGATTATCTCTCGAGTTCTCTCGCTTCCTCCGCGATATCATTATGAAAACCATCGCCGCCGTTGCGCGACCGGGGCAATACGTCGTCGCTAACGCGCCCCCTGCGTCACAACAATAGGCATTATTTCGTTTCTCTTTGTCTTTTTAAACCAGAAAGCCTCGTCGAGATCGTTCGATTTGCTCGCATACTTGCTTGCCAATGTGTGTATTTTGTTCCTGCGCGTCTGCCTAATGTGTCATCCTCTCAGTTGAACTATGAGCTGTCACAGGTAAAAAAGAGAAAAACCAAAAACTTGGGAAAGAAGTTTAGAAACGTTGAAACAAACTAGCATTTTCACTTTTCGTTAGATGGTTTGTGGACCGCGAGACCACAACGGGCGGCCACAATTACCCAACGAAGAAGCCACAACGACGACACAAGACCAACCGAGGCGTATTAAAAACGTTTCAACGAAACAACAACCGCGCCACTTGCGTTCGCCACTTTGACCGCCACCGATCAACTTCATACAATGGACAAACTCTCGCCGTTCCGTCGCTCCGCGTGCAACTACTTCTAAAGTAGCATTCAGTTTCCAATCGGAATAATCGAGTAGAGGCTGAAGTTGAAAAGCTGGCGAAAGGCACGCGTGCGATTTGAAACGTGAAAGGAAAGAGTGTACCTTTTGTCGCTCGTGATCGTTGGCGCATTTTTCCAATCGGCCTCGAGGATTGGTTACGCGCGTTACGAGAAACAATCAACTCTGTACACCGGCGACTTGGAGTGGCGACTTCACTCGCGGTTGCCATTGTAGCAGCCGGTGGGCCTCGTTCGAGTGGGCGACGTAGAAAAAAAATTCCAGGGAGCGACCAAGTGGCGACGTTTAGTTAAGTGCACCGACGACGGCCATTATCGGCATTAATAATGCCCCTGTTCGCCACTCGTGTGCTCGTGGCCATTACTCAGCCAGTCTTTTCTTTCTTTCTTTTTTTCTTTCTTTCTTTCTTTCTCTCTTTCTCTTCTTTCTTCACCGCCATCGGTCCACCAAGTGCCGGCATCGCCCCGCGAGTCTTTACGAACCTCGAGTTTTAAGGACTCGATGTTTTAACGGTCTCGTTATTCTTCCCCTTCGCCGCGAATTTCTCCACCGACTCTCTCGCTCGAGACCGTTTTCCTTTAGGATTTTTCGCCGAGGAGAGAAAATGAACGAGCCGAACTTCGATCGTCGTGTCGGAAAGACACGGGAGAGATCATCGGCGCGAACGACGTGAGAGACGAAAGCCGAAAGCGAGGGGCAAAGGGGGGCCCCACCAGATGCACCATTGGCTGCGCGTCGAATGTTCGAATAGCTGGCAATGATACAGATGTTAGCCGTGGAATTACCGTGCGATGTTCATCGAAGCGAGGAGGGAAGTCACCAACCTCGGGCCCGTGCGTATTCGGCCCGGCAAAAAAACGGCCACCACGGCATTAAGGGTCGGCTAATAACGCGTAATGCCAACCACGTTCTCTCTCTCTCTCTCTCTCTCTCTCCTCTGCCCGCGCTCTTTGTATCTCTACCCTCTTTTTTCCTTTTTTTTTCTTCCTCTTCTTTTTCCTTCTCGGTCCAGCCAACCCCGTACGCGAGCTGCGACACGCCATAGGTGAATCCCGCGCGTCGAGGGGTGGCGTGTCCGCGAGGGGAAATGAAAAAGATCACGCACATTGGGCCACTCGTTCCGGCGTGACACCTCGCAACCCCCCTCGGACGCGTTGCGTCGCGATTATCATTTCGAAATCGACTAGAAAAGCCAGTCGGTGACAATAGCCGGCCATGATGCGTTAGTAACGGCCACTCACCATTTCGACGGACCGGACCGGCCGAAAGAATGGATGGAATGGATAGAGAGGGGGGGGGGGGTACGCCTCGAG